TGGAGGTTGTAGCATACACCAGATCTGCTTATCGTTCGTGGTGCACAATTCGTTTTGTCTGATCTATCTCTTTTGCAGTTATGATAGTAATGAAAAATACTACAAAGTAATTACTATAATGCCTGGCACTCTGAGCCAAACATTTCTATTATGCTGCTACAATGCACAAATGTTGTTTAAAAATAATGACTCTGCAGGCCAGTAGATTCTGTTCTAAGCCAACTTTCACACTTCATAAACAAAATATCTTCTATTTTCTCTAAATTTAAACATAGCTAGATTTGTCTAGTTACCAGGTCCAGAATACAGATCTAGGATTGCTCTTCCAGGGGTTCTCTGTCTAATGAAAATACACTCTTATGGTATTTCTTCCTTCTTGGACTTTCCTCAATGATATTATCTTTTTCCAAAAAAAACCCACATCATAATATGTACTCTTTCTCCAAGAATCCAAAAACTCCTATCAATTCAGTTGTAGCCAAGGATCTTTTAGTCTATGCAGTTTATCTGAAACGAAATACAGGTACTGTTTTTCAGTGTGGTTGCGTACAATCTGAGTAGAATGAGAAGGGTAAGAACCATTTTGTCTTTCAGAATATCTGAATGCTACTCACTCTTCATTTCCTACACATCAGATGAACTACCTTGGGAAGAAGGAATGTTGACTGAGACCAGCTTCTTTCCATGAGAAATGTCATGTTTTCCTTTAGGATGACTGTAGTGGAAATGCTAAGTCGGGGCTTGAAGCAGTGATTGAGCACCTGGTGGAAGGTAGGGCCTACCCAGAGGAGCTCAGCTGCATGCAATGCACCTCAGTGACCAGGAGGGGTGGAGCCAGGATCTATCCCTTCCCAGACCTCATGTAAGGGTTGGCAGTGGAGGCAAGGATATCTGGCTGGAGATTCCTGCATACCTGAGGAGTTCTGAGGGTAAGCAGATTCTTTTCTTTGTTTCTGTGCCCACAGCTGTTGCATTTCAGCAATTCCTCATTTGCTGCAGCCTGGGACCTTGCTACTCTGCTGTTGTTGCTGTGCTTTCTATCATGTTACAATGACTCATCTGTACTTAAAGAGCAATACAAAGGAGAGATGATATAGTACAGATCTAATGAAAACAAGGTTTAGAAGAAAACTTCTCTGTTGCAACCTATCAAAGCCTGGTATCTTCAGCTGAAGCATCTGATACACATCTTTGTCAAAAAAAAAAGATGACTGATTTGGTGGACAGTAGTGGAACAGACCAGTCATCTCTGCCAGTCTGAACACTTCATTCCTGTATTTTCCAGGTAGACAGGCGACTAGGTTGCAAGTGGGAACAGATGTGTACCTGTCTTTTATTGAGTAAAAGAAGCTAGCAGATGCAGAGACTGAGAGTGACAGAAAAGGATATCAAAACACATCAGCTAGAGTAACACTTGCATCCTATCGGAGAGGATAAGACATTAAGATGAATAATAAAAATGTCTGAAGATCAGTGTATTCTTCAGAGATAACAGAAAGTAGATTCTGTGAAAGCACTTTTTCTTGCTACACTGCAGAAAAAAACTCTTTAATTTCTTAATTAAAGCCAAACAAAGCCCAAGGAATTTGGATATGCAGCAAGCAAAAGGCTTGTGAAAAGTTACAGAGAGAACAGAACATGACTGAGACTTGGAAAGGAAATGGTCACATGTAAGAGTACCCAAAGTACAAGCTGTGAACATAACACTCAAATCAGTCAGCAACATATTTATGGAAATTCAGATGATAGCAGTAATATGACAATAGCAGGAGTATAAAAATAGCCAGAAACAAATATTAGTTAAAAATGTACAGAATGTCTAGAATAAATCTTAAATAAGCAAAGATGTAAACTAAAACTTAATTCCTCTGAGGATGTCTTTAGAACAACTGTCTACTTGAAAAGATTAAATATAACAATACCTGGGCCTTGGAATGGATTCACTTACATTTAGAGGTAAAACTGAGATGACATAATGAGCCACAAAACCCAGCCCTGGAAAACTCGCTTTTATATCTAAGATACATGTGTTTCAAAGCTGAGACTGACTCAGCAAAGTCAACTGTTGTACCTAAGGAAGAATTGGGAAGGGAGCATGTGGATGTAGCAATTATGTCTGCAAAGGCAAGAACATGGCAGGACAGGAAAATATCATTCTATACTTACCCTACGCTATCAGAAGACTGATGTGTCCACCAAAGGAACTCAAGCAAGCAATAATAATGTACATGAGACAAGCTTTATTTGTTTGTGTGACAGCAGTGTGGGTATAAGAAAGCAGAAGAAGCGGAGAACAAAATCTCAAAATACATATAATGGAGAGATCAACACATATGAGCTAAATTCTTTGTCTACAAAGACAGAACAATACTCAAAATACAATGAACAAAAACTTGAAATTGCAGATAACAGAAAATGTATAATACCTCATAAGGAATGGAGAAACCCAGAGGACAATCACAGGACTGCATTACTTCCAATACTTTGTTTTCATTTTAGAAAGAAAGCTATCACAGGATATTTTCATTTCAGATGTTTATGCATTTAAAATCCACGTGTGTGGAATAATTAAGCACTGTATTAATGCAGCAGCAAGAATTAAGTCAGACCAAGCAATGTCTACATTTGATTACAGCTGATTAACTTCGTTAGCCAAGTAATTGAAGAGCTCATTAAATTGGCACATCCATGTGTCAAAAAGTATTTGGCAATTGATAATGAAACAGCTTAATACAATTTATGTATGAAATGTGATAATTTCAACATAATCACCTCATGGTTTTATGATGTGCTGTGTTTTAAGCAATACCTATGTAATTGCTGGGAAGGCAGCTTTACACATCCATAACCTTTGCTGTATCTTCACAGTTTCCAAACTCCACTCCTCTGTCCCTCCAGTTTTCCATGAGGAGCCCTGCAAAAATTCCACATGAGTTCCAGAAAAGGAAGTGGCCATTTTTCTACCTCCTGAGCTCTCATTTTGTCCATGAACAGCAGGGATATGATTAGCCTGAGTACTGAATGTAGAAACAGTCTTCCCTTTCTTTCATTTACAGAACTAAAATGTGTATTTACTTTAATTATCAGTACTATGGTTCAACTATCGTCCATTTTACTGAGATCAGGTTTAGACATCACTGTCATGTTCTGAAACTATGGAGTGTGAAAATGAAAAATGCATTCTGTGCTTCTAACAGCTTATAGACTTAACAACCAAATAAGTGTATGACTGTAAAATGATCTTCCATGCTCTTACAGAAAACCTGATGGCAAAAAAAAATATGATTATATAGCACATAATGTGTGCTGTATTACTCATCTCACACTTCCTTTCCCTTCTTTTTTGCCTAACCAAAAGCAGGAGAGGTCTGTAATCACTACAGCTTCTCTTCCTGGACAGAACCATGGAAAATGCCTGTCCCAGACAGCAACAGTGTAATGGGCTTCTGGTTTCTGATTGGCACTCCCTCCTCCCCAGGAAAATGTCTTGTAGTAAAATAAATGTGTTTATGCAGTGGTGACTATTTGTCACTGTAGACCCTGACACAGGCATTAAAGCATCTGCCATTTAGAACTGTGTCTCATAACTGCCCAACATGAGAGCTGTAATGAAATCCTACCTTACCATCTTGAACTAGAGGAGTCTGTTTAGTTAGCGAAGTTGCACCTCTCAGATGATAACAGGGCTGTAACTGATATGAACACTAAAGTCCATATCCAATCAAAGGAAAACAGCAATGATTTGGAGCAGCTATGGACCCACGGTCTCTGTGAATATTTTTCAGCTCTTCTACAAAGATGGTTTAATTATATGAAGGCATCTTTTTCAGATCTCGACCTTTCTGTCTCCACAGAACATATTACTGTTCACTAATCCAGTTGCCAAACTTGCTTTTGAGATGGATGCTCTCTCTTGCTTACAAGTTCTCTGAAATGGCACACACAGAACACATACTTCCTCTGGTCATTTTGCAAACCTCCACTGAGAGACTACATGAGTTTATGGTTATGAAAATAACATTTCTTCAGACAAGCAGAATTTGAACCGTTAAGGAAATAAGAGAATGTAGGTAAGCAGAAGTCAGCTTGTGGTCTAACAACATAAATGAAAATAAATTTAAACCTGTTCCATGTTATTGACCACACACTACTGTGAAGTTTGTGTATTTTAAGGTATGAAGAGATAACCCAGGCTCAGCAGAGCTACTACTTACCACAGACCATGGATTTTGGAATCTCCATTCCAGCAGCAGGAATGATTCTTCCATGAATTACAGTGAAGTTCTTTTGATTACATTTTCCAGAAGCCATTGTCAGCATCAGCAAATCTGATCAGAGTCACTACTACCCAGACTTTCAAGAAAACTTAAAGTATCTGATTTCTGTTCACCCAGCATTTCTTTGGGGTTAAACATGCGTCCTTCAGCAGCTTACACATCTTCTGTGCACCAGTTTTCCCATTACAGTTTCTACATGCCTTAGACTTTTGAAACATCTCTAGAATGTGAAGATGTCTCATCTGCTTACAACTTCCTTCTTAAAGGAAAGGAGAAATGAAATGTCTCCTTTTTTTTTTTTTTTTTTTGCTTTTGCAATCCTTGGCGTAATATACTGCTTCCACAGTGAATTTTGTAGTGCAGCAACACATCAAGGTTTTCTATAATTCTTACCAATTAATTGTGATTATCGATACATTAGCAGACAGGGTATGTACATCAGGATCAGGTATGTAAAAATTGGTAGTGCCAATACATGTCATGTCTCAGGGTGAGAAAACCCAGGTGACATACTGAGAGTTCCCTGTAATGAGTATCAAAAGTGCAGTAAGTGGTGACTATTCAGAGATTGCTCCACGAGGATGTTCCTGACAAAATAAGAATGTAAACACACATATAGGTATTTGAGTGCACCACTTAGCAAATCAAGAGGAATGGAAGATAACTAACCCTTAAATAGCTTAAACTGGTGCTCTAACTGTACAATATACAGGTAACAAGTGACAAAAAAAACAAAAAAAAACTAAACGTGGATATTAGCATACATCCCCAGATAGGTCACCTAGCTTTACATGAATACACTGCCAAACTCAGGTGATAAGATCTTCTGTGTGAATGGGAAATCACTGAGAGCAGGACAGAAAAAAAAGAGTGAAGAAGGGGATATTTGCAGTGGCATGCAGGGCCCTGGGGTCCAAAATAACAAAATATTTATCTGTAATTCTAGATTAGATTTCTGCTCAAGTCATAAGATGTCAAGAATGACCTTGGCATTATCAGCTCATCACAATTATGTAAAAAAATCTGGAATTCATTTGGAGGAAAGAACGACTGAGGTCCTAGAGATCAGCCGTGACAGAAAATGCAATCTATGTTTCTTGGATTTGGGGTCATCTTGACTTAGTATTTCCTTGGTAGCGTTAACAGATCTCATAAATCAGCAAAATACAGTACATCTCATCTGTTTCTGTGTGTTTGCAAATGTACTGAAAGTACCACAGCTTTCTGGTGGAAGGAGTAACAACTGGGTAACATACAGTCTTCACAGAATGAGAGCAAGTTTTCCTGTGAAGAGCTACCCAGTTGGCTAACTTACAGATGGACTTCCTCAGAGATCCCCATTCCAGTGCCATGCCCAGTTTTTCTTGTTCATATCTTTTACTTCCGATACAGATGCAAGGTGTGAGAGAACAAAGACAAGCATCAATTTCTGACTCCTCTATTTGTAATGCTTTTTTAATGGTGAAAGTTATTAAGGGTACTTTGTTCATATAGGCTACAGTTGCTTGCTAGCTGTTATGTTGACCAAGGAGCTAGAATAGGGGATGAAACGCAATGGCTAAAGCAAAATCAAAGTTGCTTACATGATAGGGAAATGGCCAATTTCACTCAAACTAAAATTCAGTTACAACTGAGAAGAATTTTGCTCAATAAAGGGCTACCTTTGTTGTCCCCACGTTACTTTGAGGAACTAGGTGTGTTTACTCCAGCTCTTAATGAATCAGTCTGGAAAGAAAGAACTTTTTGTTTCCTGCTTAAAGCAAAAAAATCAATCTGTTGACAGTTGAAGGAGTATCTGGCTCCTCAATTTCTACTTTCCTAACTCCTTTAGTCAAGTTAAAACTCTCCAAGAGGGCATTTTATGAACACTTCTTCTGAAGTTTCCATTTCTGTAAATTGATCTAATCTCTGTCTCGTTCCAAACACCTCCAGAGCAGCAGTGAAGAAACTAAAGATTAAAAGAAAAAAATAATAATACTATAACAGAAATATTTTCAGTTATGAGCATGCATGATTTTTTTTATTTATTACTATTATAATTAACAATATGGAACTAACATTCCTCTAGCACTGAAAAGCACATAATGTCAAGGAGCAACTCTTCCCTCAGTAAATGGCAATCCACATGAGAAATGCACGGGATGGGTACAGGCTGACATTACATCCCTTTTTAAAGGTAGAAAATTAAATCACAGGGAAATTCAGTGACTGGTCAAAGGTCAAAAAGAAAACTAATTACAGAGCTGGGAAACTGGGAAACTGTGCCTTACGTTCAACTCCTTAATTGTAAGGCTACCTTGAATATATACATATATATATATACAACTTAGTGCTGGAACATGAATATCTAAGTTAGTTTCACAGGCTGCACTTCTCTATCTCATCCACAGCTGGATATCATTCTACCTGATTAAACCAGGAATTAGGTCAATTTTAACAATATTAATTTGGTTGAAACAAAAATCATGGCTGCTCTCCACTATTTTTGTACTCAGAAAAACTGGTTTGCAATCAGGTTTGGAGAAAGACAAGACAGTGACTGATTTTAATGTAGCTTTTGACAACTGAACAAAAATGCCACAGTTACTTTACAAGACTATGAAATTAGAAGCTAGCTGTGAGAGACACCATGATACTCCAGGGGCTCATCTACTCCTTGTGTATTATTGAGTTTATCTAAGCAAATATGCACACACAGACACAGAGAAATATACCTACTTATCCACATAAATATATACACATGTGTGTGTGTGTCTGTAGATACATGCATCTGTAGATGCATGTGTATACACATATATCTATTTTTACATAAGTAGTGAGAAATTACATGTCACTTAAGGATCTCAAGGCAGACCAGGGAAAGAGGCAATACAGGACATTTTCCCATACTTTCTCTTTCTTGAGGTGAGAGAGGCCTAAACATATGATGTGACATTACAGTATATCTTAACAGTGGGAGATCACAAGCTCCGTTTCTGTCTCAGGGGCCAGGAAGCTCTGTAAGTCTTGCCAGGCCCAAGGGATTAAGCTGCAGTTTCAACAGATGCCTGGGCTTTGATTGCCCTAGACACCGTCAAGGACAGGGGCTGTCCAGAGAGCCCCATTAGGCTGTAACCCAGTCACCTGAATTCACTTCTGTCATCTCCCAGGAAACATCGGAAAGTTCAAAGGAAAACACTGCACCAGGGTGTGATAACCACAGGTGCTTCAGCTCTGCAGCACGGCTCTGCCTTGGCAACCTTCCCCTGTGTGTGGAAGAACAGTGAGACTGGCTCCCAACCTTGGGCTGGCTGTGGGTCACAGGAATGGCATGCTTTGAGGGGGCTGAGGGAATAACAGGGGCTTCCGAAAATATTAACCTTTCTGTTTGGAGAACCATGGCTGCCTTTGGAAGCCCTCTTTACGAACCTGTACTTAGCACTGGGGTAAGAAGTGTGCAGTGTGTGTGTATGTGAGTATCTGTCCGCGTGTGTGTGGCTGGGGAGGGCTCAGTGGGCAGCCCTGTGTCTGTGTTCCCCGCCAGCCCTCAGCAGAGCTGCCTGCTGTGCTCGGACACAGTTCCCCAAGCCCCCTCCTCACCTCCTCGTCCCAAGTTCACAGGCCTTTGGGGGGCATTTTTCTTCGTCGTTTGTTTTCCTTTTTTTCTTCTCTTTGCCTCCCTCCCCATGTTCCCCCTCCTTCCCAGCCTTCTAAATAGGAGATGTTCTCAGGACAGCGCCCAGGAGACTGGCTGGAATCAGTTTTGGAGGGTGATGCACCGCGACAGCTAAAAGTTGGATAGGGTTTCAGCAGCTCCTATATATAAAGCAGTGGGGACTTATGTCACCGCACTAATTAAATTCCATCTGGGTTGCTCCTCGGGGTGTTTTTGAGCCCGCCACCCCACCAGAGCAGGCAGAGGGGCCCAGGGACAGCATGATGATGGACCTTTTCGAAACCGGCTCCTATTTCTTCTACTTGGACGGGGAGAATGGGGCCCTGCAGCAGCTGGAGATGGCAGAGGGCTCCCCGCTGTACCCGGGCAGCGACGGCACCCTGTCCCCGTGTCAGGACCAACTGCCGCCGGAGGCCGGCAGCGACAGCAGCGGCGAGGAGCACGTGCTGGCCCCGCCGGGCCTGCAGCCCCCGCACTGCCCCGGCCAGTGCCTCATCTGGGCCTGCAAAACCTGCAAGAGAAAGTCGGCCCCCACCGACCGGCGGAAAGCGGCCACGCTGCGGGAGCGGAGGAGGCTGAAGAAGATCAACGAAGCCTTCGAGGCTCTGAAAAGGCGGACTGTGGCCAACCCCAACCAGCGGCTGCCCAAGGTGGAGATCCTGAGGAGCGCCATCAGCTACATCGAGAGGCTGCAGGACCTGCTGCACAGGCTGGATCAGCAGGACAAAATGCAGGAGGTGGCGGCGGACCCCTTCAGCTTCAGCCCCAAGCAGGGAAACGTAAGCACGGCGGCCCCGCGCCCCGGCACCCAGCTGCGGGCCTGCGCTCCCCTCCCTCCTTTCCCTCCTCCTCCCTCCGACGGGGGGCTGACGGCCGCGGGTGGGGGGGG